TAACGGTATTCGAGCTCTTCCAGAAAGATGGGAAAAAGTTGTAGCTAACGATGGGCAATACTTTGAATGATTCATTTTTTCACAATAAACATCAAAAAAACAGCGAGAACTTAGTTGCGCACCTAATATAATAAATTTTTAAGGTAAAAACAATATACTTACCAAATATGGAATGCAGAAAAAATAATGACTACGTTTACACATTACTATTAATCGAGTATATAGTATAGTAACATAGTCACTAAATACTGACGTAAAATGTATAAACGCTAGTTAAATCCAATTTATAACATCATTTATCATAAAAATAAATTTAACTAACGTTTATATTTTATGATAATTTATGTCAGTAGTTAATAACTGTGAATGTTATTAAATCGGATAACATATAAACGTAGTCAATATTACCGCTGAAATATTATTAAAGATCGAAAATCTTATGGCAGTTAACGTAGCTGTTAAAATTTGAACTATTAATCCATATAATATTAATTTGATGATTATTATTAGATTGTTTTTAGATATGTACATATATACATATATTTACAATTTGTTAAGCTTTAATCTTATTTAAAATTGTATTTTTATAGTTATTGTGTTTGATTATCCATAAAAATGATAACTGTAGAAAAAAAATTATAATTTTATGGCAATATATATGACGTAGCTTTATTTATAAAGTATTTGTATAATAAAAAAATTCATGATTTTAATAATGCATTCAAATATTTATGTCAAATTAAAATCAATAGTCGATAACATCGACTATTGATTTACTCTTCTGCAATTACTTTTAAGACTCTCAGGCCTCTTTGGTGATTATAAAAATTTGTTCAGGGTTGATAATAGTAACGGTAATATAACGGTTTTTAATAGTATCTCATCAATATCGATAGCGGAGAAAACTTAAAATTTAGAAATCAATAAAATTGTAATATTTCACGTGGATTTAAATCGCATTTGGCGGCGATTTGACTGCCAATCCGTTGTGTCTGTGCGCGCGTCACCGCGAGACCGTCCAATTAACGTCGGGCGTGCGACAGTTGAGTCTCGTTCACCGGCGATTGGTCAATCGTCGGCGCGCGCGCCAATCAAAGAGCCGATCGCCCAACCGTCGCGCTGTTTTGAACGCAGTCTAGGCTGGTTATTCCATGCTTCGTGACAAGTACTACCGCAGCACTTTCGTTTCGAACGCGACGTGCGTGACGATTGTGCCTTCGTGTGGGGTGTATGTAGTGTGTGTTCGTTACGCGCGAGGGAGACTCCTTTTTTTTTCTCGCGCGACACAGATAACGCGGGGGGGAGAGAGGGAAAGAGGCATAAAGCGGGTAGCGACGGAGACGAAGCGCGATGATGTCCGGTGGCGACGGTCGAACCGCCGCGATATGAAGCGAGTGATGCCCGACACGACGACGCGCGGCCTCTCCTTATCTGAAATGTGTCGCTCTTATCGCGGTAGGCGCAAGTAACCAATGTCCAGGCGCGCGGATAAACCGCCTCTCTCGCCGCCAACTAAACAATCGCATATACTAACCGAATCCGCACACCCGCTTGTATTACGCTACAAATTACCGCTAACCATCCTGTAACCCCCGCCCGGCGAGTTCCCGCTCCGAAACGTATATAACGCCTCACCGACATCTAAGACCTCTTGCCAAGGGGAGCCTCTCTCTCAAAAGCTTTCGATGTTTGACAGCTCCGGCCACGAAAGCGTGGACGCTAACGCCGCGTGATTTGTTATGCACTACGAGACGGAGACAGCGCAGAGGCACTCGACGTCCAGCATGTACGTACTTTACCCTCGTCGCTCGGTTCGATGTTCCGTGCAGCAGCAGTCTTGCATTCCGCATGATCCGTCTAAAGTCCAAACGATGACACTGGCGAGAAAACTCCGCCGATAAAATGCAACTCGTTGCTCGTTCGATCTTTGATCATTGCCTCTTTTGTTGTCGACAGGAACAAATCCGTGGAGAATCTGTTGATATCCAGCCACGAGGTGATCAGCAGCATCAATTCCACCGGTCTAGGCAATCAGGGCACGGCGACGAATTTGGGGAGCATCGTCGCTACCAGCGAGAACGTGCTGCAGGAGACGTCTGCTAACTCCGGCGCCGATCGCAGCAACAGTCCCGTGTCCAGTCCCAATTTGTCCCCGCGTCCCAGTCCGAGGGCCCATTCCAGGCGCGAGTACTCCAGATTGAACTCCGATTCCGCCGTCAAAGAGTCGTTGTCGCTCCGCGCAAACAAGTCGGACGATCAGCTGTCACAGGTATCGTCACTAGATCTGCTCTTTCTTTATCAATGCAGTGAACTGCAATAAAACTTTTCTATCACGCTTTCACCAAACTTAAAATATATATATATGTATACTAGTGTAGTAGAAAGTTCTTTGCTTTAAGTTTTGCATTGATCAGAGCATTATTTCAAATTGAAATTGATATTTTCGCGCCTTTTTGCAATTTTAAAGTTAATATTAATAGTACAAAAAGCCATGGTGGGGACAGGCATAACTCAAAAATCAATATTGTTATTTAATTGTTAATAATACGTTAATAATACGCGATAACTAAAGAGCATATTCGATATTTCATTCACCTAGTATTTCATCTTTAAAAAATGCTGCTGAAATGATTTATACTGAATATGGTGATAATGTAAGTCATACAACATGTAAAAATATTTTTAAAAATTTCACGCTGGAAATTTTGATTTGAAAGACCAACTATTTTTTGGATGAACTGTGAAATTTGAATCGGACGAACTGTAGACATTATTGAATGAAAACACGGCGCAATAAACTCAATAAGAACTTGCGAAACAGCTGGAATTGAGCTTTTTTGTGTGTTACTCAAATAAAGATTGAATTTTGTAAAAAAAAAAGCAAAATACTTTCTACTACACCTAATATATATATATATATATATATATATATATTTTTTTTTTTTTTAATGTATGCTAATTTAGCTACAAAGAACTGCTCTGATGAGGAATTACTTCTTTTGAATAAATATTACAGGATGTGATAAGTAGATCGTCCGATTCAGCCGATGTCAATAAGAGTTCTCATGAGAATAAAAAAGAGACACGTAGCAGCGATCGGAGCAAAAAGAAATCCTGGTACAATGTACTTTACCCGACTTATAAATCTCGCTCCGAGGACTTTAGGCGAATATTCAAAGACGTGCCTGACGATGAGAGATTGGTGGTAGGTAAGTATTGTTTTAAGAGTGCTCTTTGTCTCCTTTACTTGAGAATGTATTATCGCAACATTTTATTCTCCTTTGAGAAATACTTTCGTCATTAACTAACTTTACATCTGTTATGTCCACCGCGCGACCGTAAAAATACAATACTTAACATTCCATGATTTTAATTAATCTAGCGTTGTAACTTTTAGATTATTCATGTGCTCTACAGCGTGAAATATTGGTACACGGTAGACTTTATGTGTCTCAAAACTATGTGTGTTTTTATGCTAATATATTTATGTGGGAGACACTGGTCTCCTTACGTTGGAAAGACGTTACATCTATTACAAAAGAAAAAACTGCGCTTGTGATTCCAAATGCTATCCTGATATGCACCGTTACTGACAAGTTCTTCCTAACATCGTTTGGAGCGAGAGATAAAACATATGTGATGTTATTTCGTGTTTGGCAAAATGCTCTTATCGGCGAGGTATGCGTATATCATATATAACTGAAGCCCCACTTTAAACGATCTATAATTCGCATCAGAGTTTCAGGATAAATAAAATCTATTTGTACTATCTATTTGTAAATTCTATTTGTAATTTTACATGCCATTTTGACAAAAGAATCAAAGAGCATGTATGTAAAATGAAAATTATGGATTATTTAAAGTGGGTTGAACTTAAGATTTTTTTATTGTGTAGTTTTATTGTACAAGATTTTATTTTGAGAGAAATATATTTTTATCTCGAGATATATTTTTGAATGAAATAATATTTGTCAGAAAATTTTAAAACGCATGTAACATTGAATAACAGTCTTTAAAATATTTTCGGAGAATTTATTTTTTTAAGACAAATTTTCCATAGAGATACTTCGAATAGACTATACAATAAGACCCCGCGCTTTATGCTGCCCTACTCAATTGTTGTTCGTTATAGTGCGTCTTTGCTAACGCTTGGTAAACTGATATTTCTTTGGAACACAACTTCGATAATTCGGTCGGCTACAATAACTTCGATAACACTGACAACGAGTGTACCGAATCTACTTTAGTAATTCAATGTGCTTCTTATAAGGTACAATTCGTTTATTGAGTACAATAATATGTATTATTTAAGGAATATAGTACGTATTATAAAGAATAATTTGTTTGTCCTTTTACTTGTAATGTCTAGAAAAAAAAACATTAATATATTGTTCTATTTCTAAGAAATCTATGACCATCTAAGTATCTGTGAGCATTAATCGGGGTCTTATTGCACTATGAAGATATTTTGTGATGTATGTTTTTATGTTTTTTCAAACATAAACAATTCTGTTAATCTTATTGCTATATTTCCAGCCAATGAGTATGGCTGAAATGTGGCAGCTTGTACATACTTCCTATGGTGATGAATTAGGCTTGACGTCTGATGACGAAGATTACGTGCCGCCATTACCTGTGGCAGACGATGATAAGTTGTCAACTCGCCTCTCCATAGAATCCTTCTCTGAGGTAAGCCTGACAATATTTGTAAATTGTTAAACATAATATTGTATTTCTGATTGTGTTATTATATTGATGGAAAAGATAATAGCTCCATTTTATAGCTTCATTTTGATTCTTTATTGAAAAATTTTTATAAAAAAAATATATTGAAACAATTATGATAATTTTGATTAATATAAATTACTTTAAAATTATCTAAATTGTATTTGATAAATACAAATTTTTTGCATTTTATATTTTTAGTTAATTCTGCGTCTCATAGATTAATAAAATATATTAATACATATATAATATATAAACATAATAATATATATATAATAAAATATATAAACATAATAATATACATATAATACTTCAATATTATATACTGAAGAAAATATATTTATATTATCTCGATATAAATCTGTATGATTATAAAAATATACTTTAAAGATTAATATTTTGAATTTTTTTTTTATTTAATGGAAATAAAGAACGAAGCAGCCACTATGGAGAATTCAGTGTCTCCAGTCGCGGATCCTGTTTCCGCTCCTGAGTCTGCTACTGAACCTCAGATTCAGCCACTAACTCCGTCAATACCTAAGCCGGAACCCGTTCTCGATCCAACAGATTTAAGTGATACGACAGAAAGTGAGGCTGAGAAACATGGCTGTAAGTAGTTTCGATTTTAATTAGTATCTTTAATTTATTATTTAATCCATAAAAAAAAACCTTCGCCAAAAATGTGAGTAGCTCAGTAAGTAAATATCAAGCATCTGTATCTCTTTTAGGCATCTCTTATAAAAATTAACATTAAATTTATTTTTCCGGCAAAACTAACATACATATACTACTGATATAAGGTATTATTACAAACTATGTTGTTATGTGATACTTCGATAAGAAATCGGGGATCTGTAATTTCTATATCTGAAAAATGTATATATATATATATCTGTCTCTTATACACATCTCTGAGCGGGCTGGCAAGGCAG